TAGCCAATGAAATAATTCGTAGAGTATCTGAAGATAAATTTAAGGAAGCCTTAAATATAAGGCCTTACTATGAATACGGGCAATAGAGTCCTAATGGCTCCTGCACACTGGGCTCCTATTCTTGAAAAATATCGCATACGAAAAACTAGAGAAATGCTATAGTATATGTAACGCATACTATAGTATTTCCCTAGTTTTTCGTACGCGATACTTTTCAAGAATAGGGGCCCAGAGCGGCGCAGCGGTGAGCGACGAGCGGTAGCCCAATGAGAGCCACGCTTTTGCGTGACATCATTAGTGAAGCATGGCTTTTATTGGGCTACCGCTCGCCGCTCACCGCTACGCCGCTCTGGTCTGTAGGCTCCTTAGAGGCCTTGGACGCGGAAAAGCTTAAGGTCATCATACGTACAAAAATTTTAGTCGTAATCATAAGGCCATAAACAAATCGGCCAATCAGTTGATCATTTAAAAACGCGAGATCTTAATTTTGATTGTGATTGGTTGATTTGCTTGCGACTTTACGATTCCGACTAAAATTTTTATACTTGTGATGGCCTTTACCACGCGGCAAGCGTTTCCGCGTTCAGTGTGCAGGAGCCATAAGGATGAAATCACACGATGCGGAAAAAGACTGCGGAATATATATAGAGAATGTGTCATTGAAACAACCAATCAGCGCTATTCCGAATAACGCTGAATAGCGTTGATTGGTTGCTTCAATGAGTGCATTCAGTACTACAATCGCTCACTGAGCGCTCAGTGAGCGGTCGTGGTAAAGTTACTAGATAACAAAGTACCGCGATGGGAAAATTGAAAGTGACGTATCTTTGGAGACAAAATGGCGTTGAATAGTTCAGATAGTGCATTTAATGTAACTTCCTACACATTAAGTGCAATCCTAATTCTGTTATAACTATATGCGTTTGTGACTTTGTGTAAATGAACTGATTAGAAAACGTCGAAAATGCCCGGTTGCTGTATTGAAAATTGCAAAAACCGCAGTGAAAAAGGCTTCCGTTTATTTCGCGTGCCAACAGGGGATAGACGTAAAGAATGGCTTCAATTAATTGGCAAAGAAACATTGCCGGAAAGAGCTGTAATTTGTGAGGTATTATTAATGAGTTATTATCATATAATTTAAATATTATTATGTATTACATAATAATTATTACATTAATTTTACAGGTCCATATTTCGACAATAATCAATTTGAAAATAACCGTAAAGATGGAAGAAAGCTGCTTCATCCATTTTCAAAACCTAATTTGTTACAGAAACACAGCAGAAGATAAAGATAAAGATAAAGAGGAAAATAATTCTAGGAATTCGGAATTTTCCAGTGATGTCGAGGTTATAGAATTTCGTAAGTTTTGCACAATAAAAGCATATCTATTACTATTATATAATTTGAATTGAATTAAAACAAATATTTGTAGGTGAATGTGAGGCCAATACAACAACAAACATAATAAACGCACATAATAATCACAGTATAAAATGTATAATACAAAATATATATAATCTTTAAAATTAAATTTGAAGACGACTAAACGGCTATGCAATCAATTAAAAGCAAAATTGCGAAAAAGACAAGCAAATTTTGATAAAGTTTTTAACATAGATCAAAGAAAGTGTATCGCACGTTCATTGTACAAAGGAATATCGTGGTCGGCACGTACAATTAATAAAGCATTGAAACTTTGTGGCCTGTGGACAAAAAGGATATGAGGAAATTCGTCGACAGAATTTGCCTTATCCAAGTATTCGTACCTCTTGCAGGAGCGTATTCAACATTTAAAATTTAAACCTGGTATTTTGGAAAAGGTCTTCACTATATTAAAGATTAAAGTTAGTGCTAATTTGTAACTTTCTATTAAATTATCATAATTTCAGTAATGCGTGTAAATGTAAACATATATCAATGATTTTACACATGTTTACTTTTGGCATATACCTTTAATTTAAATTACTTGATTAGAATTTGTTTTGTAATTTAACTTCAGGTAGAAACGTTCAAACCTGAAGAAAAATATGCAGGACTTTTGATAGATGAAATGGCTATAAAACCTGGTTTACAGTATGATAATTCGACTACTTCAATTATTGGTCGACCTACAATGAATTTGTCGGATGGATTTGATAGTAGTAAAGAATATGCTACGCATGGGCTTGTTTTCATGCTGTGCGGCATTTCCACTAAATGAAAGCAGACTGTTGCCTACGAATTAACAGTAAATTCATTCTGCCCACATGAAATATATAATAAAATAATAATAATTATACAAAAGGCATATAATATAGGATTAATAATTAAAGTAATAATTTCTGACATGGGGCCACAGAATAGGAGTTAGTGGAAGATAATGAATATTACAGCTAGTAAAAATAGCAAGATCATTAATTATATTGCACATCTGTGTAATGATCAAGATAAATTATATATTATGCCAGATTCTGTTCATATTTTCAAAAATATTGCATCGTCAATGACATCAGGCAAAATATTTTATTTGGACAAAACAACAGTTGAAAAATATGACTTACCTTCGAAGAAGTTTCTATTATACCTATTCCTATTCGCGAAACATATAAATTAGATCAAAAAGATACGTTGCAGTTGTGCAGTCCACATCATAAAGAAAATGTCATAAATCCATCTCATTTTGATAAAATGAATGTAGCCTTGAGTGTAGGATTATTAAATAACAATGTTGCTGCAGCTATATTGTATCATATAGAGAATAAAAATATTGCTAGTATGCATAAAACCACTACCTGGTTCCTTAAAACTGTACATAAATGGTTCCAAATCATGACTAGTCGTTATCAGAAGCTTGCACTATCTCATTGTAATGAAAATGCGTACAAAGACACTATCACTTTTCTGAGAGATTTTATTGAGATTGTTACAGGAATCACAGTACAAGGTGGAACATGGAAACCATTTCAATGTGGAATATTACTTTGTACGCAGACTGTTTTAGATGTGCAAGTTGAATATTTAGAGAAACAAAATTTCAAATATTTGTTATTAGAAAGGTTTATTCAAGATGCACTGGAAAAACTATTTTCAGTAATTCGAGCAAGAAAATCTGTACCAGATGCACGAGAGTTCAAACAAACTCTGAGACTTGTTTGTTTATCACAATTTCAAGCTAACATAAATCATAGCAATTAATCTGTTATTGATTCTGAACATCTTATTGATTATTGCAAGGATATAAAAAAATTAGACTTAATAAATGCAAAACAATGTTTAGAGAGTAACAATAATGATTTATGGAATGCACAAATATATAAATTAATTGGAAATGAGATAGATTTAAGCAATATAACACAAACTGCGTTATACCATTTGATAGGTGCTTTATTGTTTAAAATAAAAAAAAATGTTAAGCATTACGATAATTGTTTCAATACTCTGGTGACTAACAATAGTGATCCTAACAATAATCTCGGTTTTTTTACCAGTTTAAGAGAATATAAAGAAAACGCATTAATATTTCCAACCATAGAAATATATAATATAATGTATAAGTGCGAATTATTATTTCGGAAAAATATAAATAATTTATTGTCTAATAAATTAAAAACTACTGATTTTATAGAAACCATCTCAAAAGATTATTCAGCGAACGTTCCATCATGCCACAATATCTTTAATCAACTTGTAAAACAGTTTGTAATAACAAGAATTCATTTTACCTTAAAACAGAAAAGTAATGTTGTTAAACTAACTTCTTACAGTAGTAGAAGCGTCACTAAGAAAATATCTGTAACTAAAACGAATAAAATATAAACAATAAAAAAAAGGGACAATATAGGAGTCAATAATTAAAAAAATGATTTTAATTATTGATTCTTATATTGTCCCTTTTTTTCATTGTTTATATTTTATATTATAATTATTATATTTTAATAAGATTGAAAGACCGCTTATGTTAACTACAATACGCGGCGCTTCTTAGTTTAAAGTATTATATTTTATATTATAATCAGTGTTGTGCATAGATGATTTTAAAATTAGCTAGATAAAGATAAGATGAAAATTTGGAAATTTATCTCAGCTAAGATAAAGATGATTACATTTAAATTAACCTAGATAATATAGATAAATTTATCTGACAATTCATCTGAAAAATTTCAGATAATTTTTTTTATTTTTAAGACTATTTATTCGTTTATAAATTAAGAATCAGTTTTTTCAAAATTAAAAAATATTAAATTTAACAATTTTAATATTTAATAACTCGTTATTTATTTCTCTTACAATTTTATCTCTTACAATGTGTTTTAACATTTTCAAAAAAATAATAAAGAATCAATTACAATAAAGAATCACATAAAAATTTTATACAGTTCTTTTCTTCTATATTAGTCGCATGCATGTCATAATCGTTGCGGTTAACCCAGAGCCATTCAAGATCGGTGTTTTTTTGCTTAAAATTGAAATGTGTCGGTATTCACACCTATTACCGTTCCTACTCCTTACTTCATTGCTGTTTTGTCGTAGCGTGCGACGCTCAGTTTCAGTTAGGACACTAGTTTAAAATAAAAAAATTTTTAATCTGTATTTCATTATATTTAAAAATATTCTGTTATTTATATATTTTTATAGTTAACGTATTATGAATAATAGTATCTCTTATAATATTAATAACAACATTTTTTTAAACATAGTGAAAGACACAGGTCAAAAACTTTTAACGATTTCGGACTAGTGTCGTCCATGAGATCGAGCATCGCGCGCTACGTCAAAACAACAATGAAGTGAGAAGTAGGAAGAGTAATGGGCGTGAATACCGATACGACACATTTCGATTTCAAGCAAAAAAACACTGACCTTGGACAACTCTGGGTTAACCAATCAGAGTCGAGCTAGTTTGACGTTCACATATTTATTCATAAATTTTTATTGCGTAAAAACAATAGTTTTTCGAACATATAATATTATCGGACAAACGATTTCGTCGAGGTACATAAATTTGTTGTCCAGAACTAAAAAGACGCTCCACTGGTGCTGATGATGGCAAAGATGTGTTAAACTTAAAAAAACATGTTTTTTACATTTGGATAAGAATGAAGAGAACTTAAATCCTTTGACTTTGATTCCAAATATGAAAATGCTTCTATATTGCTACTCACGTCCGACTGTGTCAAATTAGAAATTCCCTTTTTTTTATCCATATCACGAAAAAAATCTTCACCACTACTAGAAGACGATTTATTTTCGAAAGTAATTATACTTTGAGAATATATGGTATGTAGTTCTTGCAAAAATAGTTCTTTACACTTTTCCATATATGGTTCTGGCACCCAATTTAATTTAAATCTTGGCAAAGAAATAGCAGCCAAAATAAACTGCTTACTTTCAAACAAGTTAAAATCATAAATGTGCTTAAATCGTTTTTCTAGGGCAAATACCATACCAACGACCAGTGGTTTACAAAATGATAAATGTGTGTGAATTTCGTAAGCTTTTCTTTTAATATAATAAGTGTGGGTGCTATCAAACCTAGAAAAGTTATTTTTTCCCCTTGTAGCAGATCGAGGCTTGTTGCCAAAAGAGACATGATTATATGAAATTTTTCTAAAAATTTGATTTCATTTGATCTCAACTTTTGAATCTTCAGTTTTTCGAAAAAAATGTTAAGTTTGACTTTATACAAAAGAATCTTTTTAATTGCGTCATATTGCGAATTCCATCGTGTAACGATAGGTACAGGAAATTTACATTTATACATTCGTTAAAACAAATATCAGATGCTACTGTACTACGACTTAGTATATTCCAAAATGCATTTAATTTCGCGAAAGTAGAGCGGTATATATTTTTTAAAGAAGCATTCTTTGGATCATCTAAAATCTTTTTGCAATCTGTTGTGGCAATAAGATTTAACGTATGGGAACAGCAGGTTAAGTGTGACGGTAATATAATTTCATTTCCCAAGTCATCCGTAAAAATATCGTTAGGTTCAGTAGCATTAATATTTGGATAAATGTTTTTATATTCATTAACTTCTATGTCTGAATCCGATTCTTCTACGAAGTCAGAATCATTCAATTTTGATTCTACTATAAATTGATTTTGATTAGACCCTTTAAATTTAGTAACGCGCCAAAACATCTAAACGTTTTGCCAAATTTGTGGCATTGTCAGTTATTATGTGAGTAACTTTAGATACATCAATATTATACTCTTTCATTATGTTATGTATGACTAAAGCAATATTCTTATAAGTGTGATTATACAATATTCTCTTACAAGCTAACATATAAGATCGCCTCTCAAGTGTATTTAAGATAAAATGAACTGTCATACCGAGGTAACTTTTGTTACGACATGACCAAATATCAGTGGTTAAGCAAATATATGTTTGCTTTTCCAATAACTCTTTTAGTTTACACTGTTCTGTGTGATAGAATCATTAATCTCACTCGATAAAGCACGTCTTCCAGGTAAAAACTTATCCGGCTCATTGGTAGATATAAGTCCGTAAATTAACGTATAATAAATTAACCTAACTAAGACTCCT